GGCTGTGGAGTCTCCTTCTCTGGAGATATTCCAGACCCACCTGGACGCAGTGCTGTGCAGCCTGCTCTGGGTGACCCTGCTTGGGCAGGGAGTTGGGCTGGGTGACCCACAGAGGTCCCTTCCAACCCTGAACATTCTGTGATTCTGATTCTGTGGGAGCGTGGTAGTGCTCGCTTACGCCTTGGAGCACAGGAATTTTGCCTGAGCTGTGGCTTTTTGGTGCTGTTTTACTGTTTGGACTTCTGCTCTTCTAAGGTGCTTTCACAGAATCACAGAATCCCTGGTTCCTGCCAGATTGGTCGACTGGGGGCTCCCACGCTTTGTACCATCTTCCCTGACGATAGCATCTATATGCTCTTCTTAATGCATTAATTTACCTGTTGAAATGGGCTTCGCTGTGTCAGTCCCTTTTTTTCAATCCTTTATTTCTGCCGCATGGGACGGACTTTTTTTTATTCGTTACTTGTCATTAGTGACAGCTGCAGTGACAGCTTCATCCCATGTTTTCAGATGAGCGTTTGACAAAACATGTTTCCAGTTGTGCAATGGGAGGTGAGCACTACTTATTAATTTGAGCTAAGCTTCGTGTCCTACTTACAGCTGAGATCAATGGTACTTGTAATTTCTGTGGGACAGGGCAGGAGGAGACTTTGTAGCCATGCGGTGGGTGGTAGTGGTGAGGACGGTTTGTATACCGGAAGCAACACTCGTAGCTGGAACGTCTGCACTATTTCCACCTTAAAGCTTTTTTCCTGTGGTTGTCTTTGAATATCTTTTGGATGTCACAACCGTTTCTGACTCCAGCCTGTGAATACCTCTGCTTAGAACGTTCTGTGCAGTTAGTGCATGCTTTGAGATCTCCTCTTATTTATTAACCAAGCTTTGGGATTAAACCAAAAAATTATTACTCCATATGTATAGTAGGAGTAGGGCAGTTTTTCTGGTGTAATGGTGATGGGGAACATGCTATTATCTGCAAGTTAGAACTTTAACTTCTGTTACTTGTGGAGAAGTGTGAGCTAGGTGGACTTTGTGGTTCCCTGAGAACAAAGGGCATGGCCTTGAAGCTGTTGCAACACTAAGCTTTTTGCGTTCCTGTGGCGGGTTGGACCCCTGGTCACAGGGCAGCACCTTGCCGGTTTTGGTGCTGCGCTGACCAGGTGGACCCAGGAGACAGTAAGATGTTATTGGTGAGGTGGGCAGCAGTTCGGTGTACTTCAGACTTCTTAAAAGAATATTCTTCTCTCTTACAAGGCTTGGAATTCGCCTCTGTGATTCACCTTGCGTGGGCAGGGTATTCCCACTGAATGGCCGAGGCAGCCGTAGTGTAACCTGAGTTGGTTCCAGCTGGAGACTGTTGATGCCTATGAAAAGCAGAAGTCGTTGTCTGAGGAGTGTGTTTCAGCTACTGTTTTCTGTGGGGTTTCTTTGGTGCTTCTGTTCATTCCCTTTCATCTCTGCTGTACCTCCTCTTACAGAAGGAGCGCTCTGCGTATAACGGCTGGGGGGGGGGGAGCAAACGGCTGGGCAGGTTCAAGCATCTTCTTGTGGGGAAACTGTCTTCCAGCACCTGCCAGATAGGATAAAGGCAAAGTTCCTACCAAATCTGCGCTCTCCACCAGCTGCTGGAGGAGTCAGAGGAGGCAATTCTTGAGGCTGCGTTTATACTCTTCTTTTTCTAACTCTTTGTTCTTTCCTAGTCAAATTTTAGCATGCCTCTTCTGTGCAGGGTGTGTAAACATCTTGTGACAATTCCTGTGACCTTTCTTTCCTCTGTGCCTTTTGGAAGCTGACGGTGGAGAGCTTGACTGCCACCTTCTGAAGGTGGAATGCAGTCTGAGGGCTGTGAGACAAACCTCTTGGCAGATAGCATGTGCGTGGATTTCCGTATCACCCTCCGGAACTGAGGGTGTGAAGGATCCTGTGCCTGTTAAATCACCTGAATATTAAGTTACGGTCTTTTTTCCAACGCTGTGCATCCCCTCTCTCCAGAGCCTTTTTCTCTGCTTGTATCAGTCTTTCCAAGCCATGTGTTTTGGTGAAAGGGCTGTGTGGGCATATGTGACGTGCCCTCCCCAAGAGGTGCGTTACTGCAGCACCGATCGGTGCTGTGGCAGTGCTTCTCACGGAGAGGACGTGAAGTACAGCGTATTGCAATGCCGTCTCATTCAAAATCTGGATGTAGTTGAGCTGGGCGCTCGGGAAAGCGAAGTTAGCGTAGCGGCACAGCAGTAACACTAAGGAGGTCTCCCGTGGTCTCCTCAGGTCACGCTCTCAGCAGCATATTTCACCCTCTCTGATAACCTTGGAGTGGTTTTCTCGACGCCAGTTGTGCGTTGTTGTCCCAGTCTCATTCTGTGGGCTGTGATCTGCACCCCGGGCTTGCTGCCTCCTGCCAGCGTGAGGAGCGCAGAACTGATCCCAGACCTGCGCTGTAGCATGAGATGCTGCACTGATAATGTTCACATTCCCAGTTATTTCAATTTACTTTCTTTTATTTAAATCTTTTTTAAATCAGCAGGAGATCACTGCAAAGACTCAAACAACCTGAATTTTGTCTTTTCTTCCGTTTTCCAAACCTTTTCAGCTACATATTGTGTAATGACTCTACTGTATTAGTATAGCACCTGATTCTGCTGCTGGATCTACACAGACAGCTGTCCATATTCATGTTTCACCCGAGAAAATCCACCGGGGAGAACAGTTTAAAATATTAATGGCAGTGACAGCACTTCTGGTAACCTCGAAAGAAAATGCGCAGCATCCCTGACACATGTGTCACAACAAGACTAAATCATTCTTTCCTAAAAGATGTCCCAAAGTCTTTTTGGGAAAGTGGAAATTTTAACTCTAAATTGTAAGATGACTTTTTTCAAACAGCGTTTGGCTAGGAATTGGAAAATAGGTCTGGTGTGCAGAGGCGTAACCCACAAAATGGAAACCTGTGGTCTTTAACTGAATTACTTTTCCTTAGAGGGATTAAACTATTTTAGTTAGAAAAACATTTTTAGTATGGGAATAAATGCACTCATATCAAAGTAACCCATTATAGCTGAATCTATGGAGATTTTGAACGTCTTTCAGATGTGTCCTAATTTATTTTAATTGAATGCTTCCCCTGAGTGTTAAAGGACTGGAAAAAAACCCAGGCAGTTACTTTTTCTATTTTATGTCATCTTTAGGGAAGTTATTAACCTTCAGGTTAGGGGCTGTGTCAGTTTTGTATCACATGATGAACAGTATTTTCTTACTCTGCAGGGACAGAAGGCTTGGAAGAGCAGTCACTTTGGTCTTGAATGTCTGCAGAGCTGAGGACGTAGTTCTCTGTTCCCCTGGCTTCAGCTCCAGAAGAAGTAGTGAAGAGTGCCGTAGTTGTACGGAGCGGAAAGGGTAGGTAATGTTTCACTTCAAGACTGATCTCATCCGTTACCTAAGTGTGTTCGTGTGCCAGGCAGTCTTTGACTTTTGGGGGAAAGTGCTCTCCAAACTGTTACTTTGGCAAGGAACTGTTAACTTACTGCCTGTGTAAGTTGTTGCCTATGTGGAGCATTTGATGACTGAAACAAAACTGTATTACAGATGTGTAGCACTGTCTATTTCAGTGCAGTTACTTGTTCACCTGCCAAAGTCTGCTTTTTAATCTTTTACTCTCTTTGT